GCTTCCCATTCAGCAGAAAATGGCTTTAATGGACAAATGGCAGCAATACTTCTACGCCATCCCTAAAAATTGTAGGCATTATTACACCTAATATCTAATAAATTACTAAACTTATAAATTATTTCATACATTATAGTTTGCCTAAGATATTACTAATTGTTATTAATTCTTGAAATACGTTGACATATAGGGACCAAAATTAACCAAAAATCTCGTGAAACAATTCGCAGACTAAGTGAACATTTGGCTCCATTTCCTGTGTTTGAACCGCCAAAAGAGGATCAATTAGTGGCCAAATGGCAACAAATTTGTTTAGACAATGGCTTATTGGTGTCCGAAACTGTGCTAACTCATACTTTCTATCAATTTGATTGTCTCAACCAATTTCGAAGTTATTATTAAATTGTTTCTAAATTCAAACATACATTTGAAAAGTACTCTCTAAACACACATTTAATTCAATATTTAGATGTATTGCAAGCGATGTGTCATTTCCTGCCATTCATTCCCGAAGACAAAAGGGACGAGTTTTTGAGCGAATACTTGCAACTCGTGGACGATCTCTATATCGCCAAACAGTTTGACACCAAAGAACTCACTGATGAGAGTCCTGTTCGACTCAGTTATGATAACATCGTTGTGGTGGCCGTCAAACACATCTAATGTGCCATTTATTCACATATTATCATATAGTTTAGCAATGCCTTCACTAGTAGCCACAGCCATACAGAGTACCACCACTTTATCATTATAGAACTTCACACTTCTAATTGTTATTTATATTTATCTAATATAATCTTATTATTAGTTCATTATATAAATACTATAAATATAATGTGGTATTACTCGCAATTTATTTAATTTATTCTATCGAATGGTTTTAGCATGGGATTAAGCATGGCCACCTATAATTGCTTGTTATTTAAATAAAAAAAACTTTGCAATTTACAATCATATTTAAAATAGATTAATAAAATTCAATGCAATAGAACTTTAAAATAAAAAATACAATTAAATCAATAAATATAATTCAATTTTACAATATATTTCCACAATACTGAAGATTATTTTATAAGTATTTTATTGATAATAAAGAAAATGTGCTGAAATGGCTTATAGTATAATATTGCCTTAATAGCTAAACATTTGTCAACAAATCTGCAAAAACACAGAAAAGTTTAAATTGAAAAAGTTTTAAAATGTTTGTTAAAAAATA